TAGGTAACTTCTTTGCATGAATCATGGCTCTAGCAAATTCTTGAATGGTTCTGTTCTTCCTTTCAACTACTCCATTTTGCTGAGGGGTGATAGGCGAGGAAAATTTATGGCTTATGCCTTCAGCTGCACAGAAGTCAGCAAACTTAGAGTTTTCAAACTCCTTACCATGATCACTTCTGATCCTGATAACCACACTCTCTTTTTCTCTTTGGAGTTTGATACACAATTCTTGGAAGACTTCAAACACATCATACTTTTCTCTGATAAATCTTATCCAGGAGAATCTGGAGTAATCATCAACCACCACATATGCATGTCTTTTCCCACCAAGGATTTCTATTTGCATTGGTCCCACCAGATCCATGTGCAGTAGTTCCAGACTTCTGGAGGTGGTTAGATGTCCAACTCTAGGATGAGAAGTCTTGGTTTGTTTGCCCACTTGACATTCCCCACACACTTTTCCCTCATCAATGGTCATTTTAGGTATCCCTCTCACAGCCTCCTTGGAGATGATCTTCTTCATTCCCCTTAAATGAAGAAGTCCAAGTTTTTGGTGCCACAATTTTACTTCCTTTTGTTCTCTTGCCATAACACAGATAGTGGATTTACTCGTGTCCTGAGGCTGCCACAGATAGCAGTTATCCTTGGATCTATGTCCTTTCATGACTACTTTATTCCCATCATTAGTGACCACACATTCTTCCTTAGAAAACTTCACACTTAGTCCTTGATCACAGAGTTGGCTGATGCTGATCAGGTTGGCAGTTAGCCCTTTTACCAACAGCACATTGTCTAGAGTAGGAACTCCAAGGCACTCCATTTTTCCAACACCTTTGATCTTTCCTTTTGCTCCATCACCAAAAGTCACATAGCTGATGGGGTGTGGTTTGATGTCTATCAGCAGACTTTTTATGCCAGTCACGTGCTTAGAGCAGCCACTATCAAAATACCAGTCTTCTTTGGTTGATACTATTAGAGAAGTGTGAGCTATGTGTGCAATCGTCTTGGCTACCCATTTTCTTTGCTTGTTAGGCTCTTCCCTTATTAGTTTGGCATGATAATGTCTGTTGCCATGCATACCCTGTTTGGTTTTTCTTTGACTGGGGAAACCATTCATCCAGAAGCACACTGCTTTAATGTACCCAAGTTTTCCACAATGGTAGCATCTATGCCCTTGGAATTTTCTCTTGATTTGCTTCCAGTTTCTGTATGGTGAATGTTGTCTTATTGGTCGTGACATCCAGTTTAACATTTGAGACTCAGGCTGCTCCCTCTTGAGGTTCAAGGCAGAGGTTTGTTTCTCAACAAATCCTATACCAGACCTATTTCCCGCAGTCTGCCCACTCTGAAGGATCTCCTCTAGGCTGTCAGTCCCAGAGTTGAGCATCCTTATGGATTTAGCCATTTGATCCTTCTCATTTTTCAGATCATTTACCTCACCTCTGAGGGAGTGTATCGTGGCTAGGTGCTCTTTCCTTTCAGCTTCTAAGACCTTGATAATTTCCTTCTGAAGTTCTCCTTGTTGGTACAGTTCTACACTTCTGATGTGAAGCTTCTGATATGAGGCTATAGGGTCTTCAAAACTCAATTCCTCTTCACTTGAATCACCATCAGATAAGTACACCCTGGAGGGAGTGGTGACATGTTTGGCTGTTTCTTCTTCTGATTCACTGTCCGAATCAGTCCATGTGACAGTCAGGCCTCTTCCCTTTTTCTTGAGGTATGTTGGACATTCCTTTCTGATATGACCATACCCTTCACACTCATGGCACTGAACATTACTGATTTTTCTTCAGCCTTTTCTTTGGAATAAGGTTTAGACTTGGCATCTATCCTTCTGACCAGCTTGTTGAATTGTCTCTCAAGTAGGGCTATTGCCTCTGATAGATTCTCCACTTTTTCCTCATCTGACTCCTCTGCAGAGTTTGAAGAGATCCAATGAGTTCATCAACTTTCATGCGGCATATGTCTTGAGCTTCTTCAATGGCTGTGACCTTCATTGCAAACCTTTTAGGTAGTGACCTTAGTATCTTCCTTACAAGTTTTTCTTCAGTCATCTTTTCTCCCAAAGCTCCTGAAGTGTTAGCTAGTTCAAGAACATTCATGTAAAAGTCATGAATGGTCTCATCTTCCTTCATTCTTATACTTTCAAATTTTGTGGTCAGCATTTGAAGTCTTGACATTTTGACCTTGGAAGTTCCTTCATGAGTAGTTCTGAGAGTGTCCCAAACATCCTTTGCCAGTTCACAGTGGTGGACTAGTCTAAAGATGTTTTTGTCTATACCATTGAAGAGTGCATTCAATGCTTTAGAGTTACCAAGAGCCAATGCCTCTTGCTCTTTGGTCCATTCCTCTTCAGGAATTTGCACAGATACTCCATCCTTGTCAGTCTTCACAGGATGTTCCCAGCCAGAGTTTACAGCTCTCCAAGCCTTGCTGTCTAAGGACCTTAGGAAGGCAATCATCCTAGGCTTCCAATAGTCATAATTTGAACCATCTAGGATTGGAGGTCTATTGGTGAATCCAATATCTTTATCCATAGTACCAGAATTTTGTTTCCCTAGATCTCACCCAGTAATAAACAGGCAGAGTGTCTGCTCTGATGCCAATTGAAAATTATGGCCTGCCCACGATGGATGTTCTAACAGAGGTTATAACATCCATTGTGACATTCACTACAGATCTACTATTATGCAGTAATAACAAAGCAGTAAATAACACAGTTAGTTGTTGACCCAGTTCAGTGCAACACACTTACATCTGAGAGCTACCAAGGCAGGGAGAAATTTCACTATCAGCAGTATCAATTCAGAGTCAAACCTCTAGTTTGTACTCTTCACTTAATCACTACCCAATGACAATTTAACCTAGAGACACTCTAGACCTGAGTATACCCACTCACTCCCTACAATCACACAACAGTGATAACAACAAGTTACAATTTAAACTGTAGATTGAAGAAACACTTCACCTACACACACACACACACCTTGATCTTTGCTTCAAAGCTTTGATCAAGGAACACACACTCTTGCTTAACAGCTTCGAGTGTAACACAGTCTAGAAACTACCTAACCAATGCACTCAACAGTTGCTTGGGTTACACGTATTCCTAAGACACAAACGTGAAGAACAACTTCTTCACTCCAAAACCACTATGGTGATTTCTTTGCTTCTCTATCTTCAACAGCTGCCTTCTAGGATTGCCTCGCCTGGTATTTGTAGCAGCATATCAGTTCTTGGGCCTGGGAGCATACATTAGGTTTTATCCATCATAAAACCTCACTTATGTATTCTGCACGCTTGCCTCTTTAATCAGGTACATTTTAGTTCCCCTAAGGCGTCTAAAATGTCTCCTGCATTCTAGCATGAGCTTCTGAGTTGTTTCCTGAGTTATAGCTACCAGAAAAACAAACTTCCGCTTGATGTCATACGACCTATGTCATAACATTGAGTATGACATCCAACTTAACTTATAGTTAGCTTAGTTACCTTACCCTGCACAGTCCATATTATGAATGTAATAACATCAAGCATGACATGTCCCCGCGGAGGGGAGCACGTGGAGAACGTGTGAAGGACACGTTGTCCTGCCCGACAAGGGAGCAGGTTCTTCCTGCGGATGGAGGTTCTGCCTGAAAGGGGCAGTGTCTGACCGACGGGGAGTCTTGGGTTCGATACAGATGAGGAAGGTTCTGCCCGCGGAGGGACATTACCTGCCCGCCGGGGACTCTGTGCTCGACGGCTGTGGCCTAAGCTGGATTGGGCTTGACATAATATTATTGGGCTGAGCCTGCCCGTTCAAGCCAGGGCCCAGGCCAGAACACTATAGTTTTGTACGTAAATAACACACATTTCTAAGACATGTGACATATAATTAGTATTTAGTTGATTTTATATACATACAATTATAGTAATAGAAAAAATGTAGAGATAAAGGAATTGAGTGGATCCCAACTCATTTGTTGAAAGCAAATATCATATGATAAATTTTATAAAAACAATAAATCAATATTAATTAAATGAAAATAATTGAAGATATTTTAATTCAAAGAAAATTTGAAGGTTAAGTATTCCTAAATTTTTAATTTAAAATTTTATCATATATTTTGTGGTTTTGCAAGAAAAACTAATATGTTTTTAAAATCACTTAATTAATTAATTAATTAATTTTGGCACAATATAAAATCACTTAATAGTTTAAGATAAAATCAATGTTAAATCAGTTAAATTTATATATATATATATATATATATATATATATATATATATATATATATATATATATATATATATATATATATATATATATATATATATATATATATATATATATATATATATATATATATATATATATATATATATATATAAACACGCGCAAAAAAAATGCGAATTTAAACTCACAACGTTACATTTATTTATCAGGTTAATTATTATGGATTGATATTGTAAAAAATTTTAAATTATTAATTTATCATTATTATTCGTTTATATTATTTTATAAATTATTAAAATAAAAGTCAAACTTCTCTTACATCGATAATTATCTGACAATATAATTTTTTTACATTGTCAATATATTTTAATTAAATTCTTTATTTATATAAATTCAACCATTTTAATTAAATTTTTTATTTATATAAATTCAACCGGTAACATATCACTTGTTCATTTGATTTCAGTTAAAAAACCAACCACATAAAATAATGACATTTTTTCCGCAGAGAGCCACAAAAATTATAGTGCAATTCCAAATTGAAATAAATAATAAAAAATGTGGAGCTAAATAATAAATGATATTAAAAATCCAAAATTGAAATATAAAACTTGGGTCTCACCTTGAATTATTTGATTGTGTTTAAGCTTCTTCCATTTTCCATTTGCGGCATCTCCGAATAATTCTTTCGCATCTTTTCTATATTTCCTTTTTCTTCCATTTTTTCTCTGGGTATACTAAGGTTTTGCACCACCGCTTCAATTTTCACCGATTTTTCACTATGTCTTCTTCACTTGTAAAGATCGAAGACCAACACCACCTCCCCAAAGATCTTTACCATCTCTCAATCAAAGATCTGGTAATTCTGATGAATGTTTATTCTTTTTTATGATAGGTGTGATTTTACCAATTAGTTGGTGATTTTGGTTCTTTGAGGTTCAATTGCGTTTTCAATTTCATATTTAAGTTTAATTTGCGTTCTTGTGCGAATTCTTTTTGAATGTTATTTTTCTAGGGTTATCTTTTTTTTTCTAGGTTAGAATTGATGAACTTGTGTTTGATTCTATTGTTTGTTTTCGTTATTATTGATGTTCAGATTGGAAAGGTGACTGAAGAAGAAGAGAATCACCCTGTAGGATTTGGAAAGCATGGTGGAATATGCGCAATTTGTTTGGAGGTGATAGTGCTACAAGAAACTGCTCTTGTAAAAGGTTGCGAGCATGCTTACTGGTAAAAAAAAAAACACGCTGTTAATGCTTTTGGATTTATTAGATTTTCAATTTCTTTTGGGTTGATTAGATTTTCAGTAATAATATGTGTTCTTGGATATGTATTAATGCTATTTCCCTAATGAAATACGTTTATCTCTCTTATGTATTTCTGTTCTGTTTTTAAACTTTTGTGCATGAGATTTCTATACTTGTCTAGGGTGAACTTGTAAAATATCAATATATTAGTTTGTTATCAATTTTCCAGAAGTAAAATAAAGGATTATAATGGTTTAGTTATTATACATATTAAGCATAGAAGATTCCACATGATTGATGGAAGATACTGATGGCCCGTGTAATCATGCATACAAATTATGTATTATAATGTTTCTGTTAGTGTATATATTGTTTGTTGGTGTATATATTGTTTGAAAGCATCTTTGAGATAGCAAAATGCATAATAGAATAAGATGCATCTTTGCTGAAGCTCAACTTTTATTAAGAAGAATGAGATGACATGTGTTGAACTCATCATGACTATTCGGCTGTGTTGCAAAGGTACGGGTACTGGTACGGAATACATCATTTTAAAAAAAACCAAGGTACGGGTACGCGAATATAAATCCATATATGCTCCGATTTTTCTCAATAGAAGATGAAGAATTTGGTTGTGCAAGGAGTTTCAATGCAATGGATTGAAGTTTAGAGATTGAAGATTCATTAATTATCCACTTTTCCTTTGGTTTCAAGATCCACTGATCTTGCAACAAATCAAATTGGTCAAACTCTACATCGGCATTTGAAAAGCCCATTTAAAAAAAGCCTAAAACTATTCCATTAAAAGAAAAAAATTGAGTTCGCGTACCCAATATGTATCCGTTGGAGTACCGACTTAAAAAACAATAAATAAAAAATAGGTATGGTGTCGGTACGAGTACCGTGCGCGTACCGGTACCAGATAAGTGCCCGGTACCGGTACTTTGCCTAAAATGGAGTACCCGTGCTTCACAACTATTCGGTCATAGGTCCTCATGTTAGGAATAAGTCATTTAAGAGTTTAAGTTCTTAGATCAAGATAAATAGCTTTACAATGCGTCTCGCACATGACATTTGTTAATTACTGACTAGTTTATGATGAATTTATGGTTGTGATAAAGGCATGAAAAAAATCATTTATTACTACATCAAGCTGACCTGGTTTTTGTTTTGGTTCTTTTCATTAATTAAATGTGTAACTGTGGTTAGCTTCTTAAGTCTTGTCTGTTATATTAGATACTCTAGCCATGCAATTACCTGCATTTGATTTCCCTTCAAGTTATCAGATTAAATTCTATCGATAGTTTCCCTGTAGATGATGTATATTTGTTGAGTCTTAAACTATAATGTTTATTAACAACTATTTTGAGGTTTTAGATATTTTCTAGGTGTGATATGTAATTGTTTTTAATTGTAATGGTTTGTTTTTGTGTAGTGTAACATGCATCCTTCATTGGGCCACATACAGTAAGAAAGTTACCTGCCCTCAGTGCAAACACCCATTTGAGTTCCTCGCCGTTCATCGCACACTTGATGGGAGGTAATAATACTTGTCATTTTTGTCTTTATATCTGATTCAGTTCATGCTTTATATCTGCCCAGTTTCCTTGTGCTGTCATTTTTGTTCCATAAAATTTTCAGCTTTATTAGGATATTTCTCTTTGACAATTTTCATGCTTAATATTTCTGAATTTGTTGAAAGGTCGTCCTCGTGTCTATAGAATGAAACAGCCTCGTGTCTATAGAATGAAAGCGGCCTTTCATTATAAGATATACATGATGGATTCAATAAGAATTATATGTTTTGGAAATACCTGTGTTATTTTAATGTCTGGTTAATGAATATAAAGATGAAATTTTTAATGTTTGGTTTGAATTCCTTTGTCACCAGAAAGTATTCTGAATAATTAGATAATTGCAATCTTGTTTTAGATGTTAACGGTTGTATTTTTGTCAAACTTCTCAGCTCCTTCAATTATACTAAATAAAATACTACCATCTCGTGGAATATAAACTTTTTAAGGACGAGGAAGTATGTCAAACAAACAATATAGTCAAACTAAATTTTTTGCCCCTATTATACTACTTTATAGGTTAAATGTTGCATTAGTTTCTTTTTTGACAAGTTAATTTCTCTTTGACAATAATCTCAATGCTACTTAATTAAGAGAAGTGGCTAAAATTGCGTGCTAACTGTTTGACCTTTTATGCTTGACAGTATTCAAGACTACATGTTCGATGAAAGTGTTTGCCTACTACTTCGGGCCAAGTGGTTCAAGCCTTTAATTGTTGAAGAGTGTGCAGTTGTTGACGAAGATATCTATCAAGAGATAGAAGACTATTATAATCAGTATGAAGAAGCTGACGTTGATCTAGATGATGACGAGGCTTATTATGGTGCTTCAGCAAATGTCCGGCTTGGCAACCGTAGATGGGGAGACAACGGTTTTGTAAGGGCTGGGCGTCAAGAGGCTCGGCCAGTCAATCGACCAAGCTTCAATGATTCAGGAGCAAGTTCATCGCGCGAGCCAAAGAAGAAAGAACAAGAGTGTCCAAAAGTTATGACAGGAAGACGGGCAAAGAGGGCCCTGAAAAGGGAAGCTGCTAATAAGGCAGCTGAAGTGAAGCATCAGAAGCATTTGGATAGGTTGGGTAGGAACTAGGAAGTGATTCTAATTTAATCATGTCAATCGAAGCCTCCTTCCCTATATTTTTTCGTTTTTCTTTATTTACATATTTTTTGTATAGTGTTTCCGTGGTCTGAAGCATCTGATAGAACGCTTGGGAAGCTGTTTTTTAGAATAATGGCTGGGTTGATACAATCCTTAACTCACTGTATCATTGAACAATTTAGGTTTTCAATAAGTAGTCAATACATCTCTTAGTTGTACATAATTTCCCTTGGATGATGATCTTGTACCTTCTTGATGCTGATATCTTGTATTTTTTTCAGAGTTGAGCATTGAAATAAAGAGAACTCCTATTGTGGAGATACCAAAGAAGTTGTGTCAAATCTTCTATCTTACATTAGATTTAAGAATTGCTCTAACTTTTTACTCTAATGGTTTAACTCTAAGATGTAATGAATCAAAATGTGTATTAAAATCAGATTTATTGGGAAAAATGGCTCGTATGACTTTTAACCTTAATGCCTATTCTCGTTATTTCTACTTTTTACATGATAATAAAGAAAAACAACAAAAATAAGCCTTATTCTACTAAATAGGGGTGACTATATGGATCAAGTTTTGTCTTAATGTTTTAACTATAGGATCATAATAATGGAAAATTAAAATGAAAAACAACCTATGTTATTTCTACGTTGCCATCATGGAAAGTAGGCTAAAGTTTTCAAAGTGGGTCCTCCAATACCCATTGTAAGTGGAGCAAGTGAGTAATTGAAATGAAAAACTACATTTTCAACCAAAGCAAAGATAGTGTTCCTAGCATTAATCGAAGAATTAAATAATCTAAATATATCTCCGACACATAATCTAAGTGACAAAATGGACTCCGTTTTTTTTTTTTTCTTTTTTACATTTGTGCTTCACCTGCACTTTTCCAAAAGGTGTCAAAGTTTTACTATTGCACTCTCTAATATATGTTTGTTTTAGTCTTTTTTGTTTTGCTTGACCCGTACTTTTTCAAAACTCTAATATGTTTGTTTCAGTCTTTTTTGTGTTGCTTGACCCGCATTTTTTCAAAAGGTGTTAAAGTTTTACCTTTACACTCTCTAATATATGTTTATTTCAATCTTTTTTGTTTTTTAGGTTTTTACAAGTGCAGGCATTAGCATATGTTAATGCAATTTTTAAGGTAAAAAGATGCAGTTCTGCCCTATCATTTTTTTTTCCAAACTTTTATATGTATAGATACGCAAATGACATTTATATACAAAATGGTACATAAATAAATAAATAAAATTGGCATACATCTAACCAATTACGTCATCATAATTTTCCCTTTTGATTTTCATGCTTCATCCTTCATATTTTCACCTACTTCACCACCACAAGTTCCTTAACCATCACTCCATTTTCATCATACAAGCATAATTCATTCATTCATTCATCTCACAAAAATATCTTCCACCACACGGCTTACAAAATGAATTCATTCAATCAGAATCATCAAAGTAGCAGCTTCAGGTACAATCCAAACTCAAACAAGATGAACAATTTAGATGATGATGAAGATGATGTTGAATTTTCAGGTTTTCTAGATATATATGTTCATCATGCTAAGAATATTCATAACATATGCATATATGATAACCAAGATGTATATGCTAAATTCTCTCTTACTTATAACCCTGATGAAACCCTCTCCACAAGAATCATCAATAAAGGTGGAAAAAATCCAATTTTTAATCAAAATTTGAGGGTAAAGATTATTCAAGTGGATGCTGTTTTGAAATGTGAGATTTGGATGTTTAGTAAGTCAAGAAATCACTTAGAAGATCAACTTTTAGGGTTTGCTTTGGTACCAATTTCACAAGTTTTTGGTAGAGGAAAAGTGACTCAAGATTATAGCCTTTCTTCCACTGATCTTTTTCATTCTCCTGCTGGAACTGTTCAATTAACACTTTCATTAGACACATCTTTCGAAATGAATTCAAGTTTGAGTTCAATACCGCAATCGGCTACTAAATCTTCATCGATATCTTCTGAAGTTGTTTTGCTTGATCCAATTGAATATTCTAGAATTGAATTTCCTGATATCAATGTGGTGAATGAGAATCAGAAAATGGTTTATGAGTACTTCAATTCGGAATATTACGCTTCCGTTTCAAGGCCTAATTTAGTAGGCTCATTGCCATTTCTTCACCTTGGTGGTTCTCCTGAAGTTGTTGTTGATTGTGACATGACAACGGATTCGTCAGGCGAGAATCACGAATCCGTTATTTCTCCAAATGGGAGCAATCACAATTCTAGGTTTCCTAGCTCTACTACTACAAGCATAAACGATGATAGAAACTCGAATGATTCTGTTGAGAAAAAGAGTAACTTGAGGGACGACTCATCGAATTCTTTCAATGTCTTAGGCTCGGTTGAAGATAATCAGAATTCTGTTGCTTGTCCAGATACTCGGACTTCCAAGAAAGAAAGTGAAGTTGGAAATGAAAACAAGGAGCTAAAATTCTCGAGCACAGAAATGGAGACTAATAATAATGGTAGGAATCTAGAAGCTGCAAAATTCGGTCAAGTTTATTCCGTTCCATCTCGAAACATCGATATGAAGGCTGAGCAATCATCTATGCAGCAACAAATAGTTGACATGTATATGAAAAGTATGCAACAATTCACCGAGTCTTTAGCGAAAATGAAACTACCGATGGACCTTGATCATAAGCCTAATAATGAAGATCAAGGTGATGTGATTCAAAATCACAGCAACGTCAAATTAGAAGCCGCTGATAAGAAGAAAAGCGACGGATCGCGTGTGTTTTATGGTAGTCGAGCGTTCTTCTAGCTATCTCTTTATGAAGCAGCCACATAACGACATGAAAGTTCAGTATAATGTGAGTTCAGGTACTATAGTTTCTTTGGTGATATTTATAACAGCTTTTAATTAATCATATTTTGTTTAACCAATTTTCTATTGTACTGCGACATTGTATTGTATCAAGAAAAAAGACCTTGATGACTATTTAATATTTATATGTTTCTCTATAGTGTGATCATGGGAGTGCTTTTGTATGTTTCATGTGCCATTGAAATCAATGAGCATTTTGAGATGTTTTTATATGTTTTATGTGCTAAAAATTCAGAAACTTCATTGATTGCTACTAAGTTTTGATAGCAATTGTTAATCATTTTATGGAGAAGTAAATTGCAAGAAAGTAGCTATTGTATAAAGAAGTGAAAGATTGGATTTGAAATTGATGGTAGTATATTTTTGTGTACAAACCGAATATTCGGACTAAAACCACTGTGAGCGACAAAGTTCTTTTTCATTGTTAAAATTTATTTGTTATAGTTATTTTCGGCCAATATATAAAATTAAAAGTTCATGTGTTTTGAAGTATCATATCTACACAAATTCTAAATATGTGATGTTGCTTTCTTCTGGGACAAAGAAGGTCATGAATCATGATCAAAAATTGAGAAATCAGAGCCGGGATATTGTAAATCTGGTGAGTGGTAGGGTAAGTTTTGCACCAATTTTGTCAACAAATTATGTAATGGATTCTAAAAGGAGTGAAAGAAATGTAATTAATGATAGGAGGAAAATGAAACCAAAGATTAGGAATCCAAAGAACCAAGTACTTTATAGACAAAATTGTGATTACCGTCCTTTTCTTTAGGGGTCAAATTTGTTGGTATGTACATCTTTTGATCTTTCAGTCCGAAAATAAATCCTAATTATTATAAACTCAACTCTATTAAGTAGTATCTGTTGAAATTAACCTCAAGATTTTGAGTAATTTTGAATCAATTTTAATGAACAAGATTGAATCACGCCGATCGAATCCTCTCTTGTTCTTCACTCTTCACTCGAATGAATCAATCACACCTTGATTGCAAGATAATTCACTATACAATGATGATGAAACAAGAAAAGAAAATTGAATTAGAGAAGAAAGAAAGATTAGGATTTTAGAAAAAAATGGAGAAGAAAAGATTTTCTGCTGAGCTTATCTCTGCTTCCAAACTGAAATTTTATTCTTTGCAACTGCAAGGGTTCAAGTGTAAATCACATTACAATAATATGGTTACTCTCTATTTATAGATTTAACTTGCTTTCTCTCTAAGTAAAGACCAAAAACAAAAAGCCCAAAATACCTAATCTCGCTAGCACTACAAAATTAGGTTTAAGACAAAATCTATGTCGAGACTAACTCCTCGGCACACGCACGCACGTACATACACACACACACACACACACACTAGGCTATTTGTCAATTTTTTTGTCCCCGTCGAACAACCTCCTTCGACACAAGAAATTACAATTCAACACAACACTTAATTCATTGTGCCTAAATTATATACATTCATCATAGATATTAATTTTTTGAACACTTTGACCTGCACTCCTTTCGTCATGATATCTGCAATCCGATTCTCAGTTATCAAGTGTTCCAAGTTCATATTCCCATCTTCTACCTGCTCTCGAAGATAATGGAACCTCATTTTGATGTGCTTGTTTCGTCCATGTTTTATCGGATTCTTCGCCAGATTGTTAGCAAACATGCTGTCAATCTTTATGGTAATTGCTCCTTGATTCTTCCCTATAATCTCTTCGACCAAATTCACCATCCACGTTGTTTGACATGTACAAAGAGAAGAAACTATGTATTCTACTTCATATGATGATATAGCAACTACTAGTTCCTTTCTTGAACTCTAAGCAACTGGTGCACCACCTAGCATAAACACACCTGTGGATTTTCTATCCTCAACATCACTACACCAATTTGAGTCGGTGTATCCCACTAACTTGCATCATTTTCCTTCATCAGTTGTAGGAAACAAAATTCCATAAATGAGAGTTCCTTTCCGATACCTTAGTATCCTCTTCGTTGCTTCTAGGTGTGATACATTTGGCTTCTGCATGAATCTACTCACCATACCTATACTGTATGCTAGATCAAATCTTGTGTGACAAAGGTATAGAAGTAATTCAATTAGTCTTCTGTACTGCATTGGATCAACATCATCTTCATCCGTGTCTTTTGACAGTTGCAATCTGTACTCAGTTGGAGTCGAAGTTGGGTTGCAATCTTGCATCTCAAATATCTTGAGTATTTCGCTTGCATATCTTCTTTGATGCGTCATCAAACCTCTACCACTCTTGTAGAATTCGATGCCAAGGAAATATGAGAGATTTCCCAAGAATGACATTTCAAACTCTTTACTTAGGTCATGTTTGAAATCTTCGATCTCCTTCTTGCAACTTCATGTAATAAACAGGTGTTGACATAGAGACATAGTATAAGCAATTCACTATTGTTTCTTCTTAAATATACTCCATGCTCAATTGTGCACTTCAAAAATTACTTCTCCCTTAGAAAGCTATCTATCTTCTTGTTCCAAGCTCTTGGAGCTTGCTTAACTCCATACAGGGCTTTATGCAACATGTAAATCTTGCTTTCTTCGCCTTTCTTAGCAGAGTCACTGATTTTATTGTCTTGTATTAAATCTTTTGACTTTGTAATCTTTGACAAGTATAGAACCAGACAGTGTTTTCTATTAGAGATTGTCTGAGCATTAAATGTATCAATTAATGTTGATACACACAGAGTTGAGATAAGGCACCTACAAGAATGCATCTAGCTCTAAAAATATTCCCAATAAGCTTCTTCTGAGCTGGTGTGAGAGACTTTCAAACATTGATCATTCCTACACCATCAACTTCTATAGTAATACTTTTCTCAAGAGTATTCTATAGATCTTCATGAAAATTCTTTATCAAGACAAATGAATTAAAAATATATTTTGCTCTTCCATCATTTAAATTCAGCGGAACTACCATTTGAATATGGTAGGAAAAGCAATGTAATATTTTTCATGTGGCACTTGACTCCTTCTTGAAGCAAAGTCTTTAACAGACATATTTTCTCATTGAATCATTATCTGCAGTACTGTTAAGTGTTATGCACATACCATACTCTAATACCAACTGAAGGTGAGAAAAATACACAAGAAAAGGGGGGGGGGGTTGAATTGTGTTTTCCATTTATTTAGTTTGTGTCTGATCAGAATTCAGAATCTAAACTGGTGTTCAAATACTAATTATTCGTTGCAGTGGATGTTAACAAAATAAAATAAATAATAACAGAACACACAAAGATTTATACTGATTTCTTTCAAATGAGACTAGTCCAGTCCCCTTGCAGCACAAGAGATTTTCACTATAACCAAAATATGATTACAATCGCTTATGCACTTAAGCATAAGACTTTTCTTTGCTTAGACCCTCAACCCAAGAATTATTGCTTAAACCTCTCAGGTCGAAGACTTCTGCTCAGGTTCAACGAACCTAAGACTTCCCTGCTTAAGTCCCTCAAACTCAAGACTTCGACTCAGACCCTCGGTCCAAGAGTTCCCTTATCTGATTCTATGAATCTAGTACTTCTGCTCAAGCCCCTTAGGCCCAAGACTTTCTTACTCAAGTTCCACGAACCCAAGACTTATGCTCAAGCCCCTTAGGCCCAAGACTTCCTTGCTTAGACTCATAATCCACGACTTCCTTGCTTAAATCCCAAAGATTCAAGACTTCAGCTTAATCAACAATAGATCAAGACTTTCAATGCTCTAGCACATAGTAGGAGACTTACTTGGCTCAAGATTCTCAACAAGAGACTTTTATGCTCAAGCACATATTAAGAGACTTTATCTAAACTGCTAAACAACATGTTTAGCAGAATAGGGATCAAAGTGTACTTGATACAATTATCAGGGGTACAAGGTAATCACCTTAACAAAGACCTCTAAGCACTTAGGATTTCTAAGATATTCAATGTTTAAGAAACCTCAAGGTTTATTACAATTTACAACATATAACAGAAAATCTACATACTCGATTGTGTTACTCATTGTATGATCTTGTTATTCCTCCATCCAGACAGAAGTGTAAAACACTTCTATCCTTATTGGCTTTCCTTCTATATCAGCCCTTTTGATTGCTCCCTTGTTCGAAGACTTCACTTTGAATCTTTAGTAGCTTATATAGCAATTATAGAAGACTATTCGTTGGAAGAGACAAGTACCTTTGTTTCTCCATAGTACAAGAGACATTGAAGAGAGATACACTAAAAGTTCTTGATCCATTGTGTAACATGTTTCACCAGTGTGTCTTCCATGTAATCTTGTACGATATAACCGTTGAGAGTAGATATCCGTAAAGCATGTTAACTCTTCTTGAGCCTTGCGAATTTAGACTCTAACTGACAAACTGATTTGACAATACATCTTACTTTTTGTGGTATGAATAGTGTTGCAGTGAGAATTATATGTCAAGCTATTGATTAACTTGAATCTTAATTCATTAAATTCACAACCGAACTTTAATTTATCCAAAGGAAAGGTTAGAGAAAGAAAGACCTTTTGCACGATGTAACAACAACGCTAAGAGATTCGGGGATCGGGGTTGGTTATGCTTATGGTAGGTATTTCATATCCTAAACATCTGTAGTACTCTACAGGAACCTTTTGTATGTTTGTATGCTAAGTTGCTTGCTATGGTTATGAGATCAAGGTTGATGTGAAGTTGAGGTAAAGAACTAGGGTTGATGTTTCTAAGTTTGTTCGTAAAGATATCACATCCTCTGCCTACGTATCCTAACTAGGATAGAATCAGAGTAATCGTAGTTCACCTCACTTAGGGTGGATGAACACTTGATTATGATCAAGGTTCAAGGGGGAAAAACATAACAATGCTTGTAAAGAGTTTAACAAAACTCTCTATTCTAAGTTGTACATTCAAGGGGATTTACTTTGACAAAAGCCAGGAGGGGAGTAAGTAATCAT